TAATGACAAGTATCGTCATTTAACAGTTTTTACATTTATTTGAACTATTCTCATAAAGTCTGAAGAACTCGAAAAATCACAAAAAATATCAGAATTTGACTTAAAGATGCAACTGAAACGTGATGAGCAATTAGCTAGAGAACTTCAAGAAGAAGAAAACAGAATAGCACGTAGTGAAGGAAGAACAATCCCAAAAGATGCCGATTTATATGGCAAAGGGACTCTAGACTCGCTCATTCAACGAGATGACAAAGCAGCTTCACCAAAAACTCCGCCATTACTTTTTTCTGAAAACAATGGCGTTTTAAAAAATAATACGAAAAAAGCCCGCCCTACGCCCACCAAGACAGCACCAATTCAAGTTGATGCGAAAACTTTTGTGAATAGCAAGAATTCTAAAGACCAAATTGATTCTGCTTTTAAGCCATCTTCAACTTCATCGTCTTCTACGACACAGAAATTCGATGATGATGCTTGGAACTTTACTGACTCAACGCCTGCGTTAATACCTGCTACTAAGGTGGCTCCACCTCCGCCTCCTCCACCAATAATCACACCAAGACCTCCTCCACCAATAGTCGCACCAAGACATCCTCTAAATGAACAATTAACTAGTAAACAATTAATTAGTACAAATGCTCCTACTAATTTGAATACTAGTGCTTGGACATCTTTAAGTCCCACTGTTTCTCCTTATTCCAGTAATTCATCTACATCACTTCCTGTTCAATCTTCTCAACCTTTACTACAACAAAATTTGATCTCCCCATTTCCACCACCTTCACAACCAATCGCTGTTCCATTGAATTCTACCCTTCATCAACCTCTAGTTCCAGTTAAATCTTCAAGTTGGAACAATACAAGTAGTATGTGAAATTATTTTTAACTCATTGAACTTAATAGTTTTAATGACTTACTACTTCATACATATATAGATTTATCTATGTTGCCAACTAATAATGCTTTATCAAATCCTAACCCTGGATTTGGCCAAACCGGTATGAATATGACTACTACGACAACTGTCCAATTTTAACTCATTGAACTCATGATTTTAATGACTTACTACTTCACAAATGTAGGTTTATCTATGTTGCCAACTAATAATGCTTTATCAAACCCTAACCCTGGATTTGTCCAAACCGGTATGAATATGACTACTACGACAACTGCCCAATTTTAACTCATTGAACTTATGGTTTTAATGACTTACTACTTCATACATATATAGGTTTATCTATGCTGCCAACTAATAACGCTTTATCAAATCCTAGCCCCGGATTTGGTATGAATAACCAATATATGACTACTACAACAACTGTTCAATATCAACAAACAACCTCGTTCCACCAGCCCATGCAGAATCAGCAACAAACAAATTCAGCAATATATGATCCTAAAAATGTGTTTGCTTCCATGAAGACTGGACAAATTGGGCCAAAATCACTACCTAATGATTTAAGCGTGAATGGTAGTTATTAACGAACCACTCATATAAGGTTTACTTAACTTTATCTCATAAATTCTTACTCTATATATACATTTAGCATCAACTGACAGATATGCTGCCTTGAAGCAAGTGGATCTTCAAGGTCCAGGTGTTTTCAATAGTACATCATCATTCCAAACACAAAGTACATATTTGATCAATTTTACATTAATTATTTGATTTCATTTTAGCCGTTCTAATAGTCATTGTCTTTTTCAGGCTCAACAAGTTTTGGTTTAAATCCAAGTGGATTCAATACTAGTCCAGCAAATTGGAATCAGGGCGTTCCTCAGCAAAACCAAAATTTTGGCGTAGGAGGTATCCAACCTAATCCAGGGTTTGGTTTTGGACAACAATCTGGACAACAATCTGGTCAACTTGGATCTAACCAGCAAGGATTTGGTTCTAATACTGGATTCAATAACAATCAACAATTTAATAACTTTGGTCAGGGATTTTACCAAAAATAGGCAGTGTTGGCTGCACCTTTTATGGTATCAATCAACTGATATATTCTATAGGATCATATATTTATTAGTTAAATAAATATCTAAATTTTATATATATAAATGTATAAAAAATTTTATCTCTGGTTGGGAAAAAAATATTAAATATTAATTTAATATTTAAATATATATTTTTTGTTTTTAATAATTTTTTGTACAAATAGTTAAAAATAAAGTTAATGTTAATTTAAATATTTAGTATAAAATATTTTAAATAATATTGTATATAATTGTGAAGTTTAATAAAGAATAAAGACAGTTTTTTGAGCTTTATTCATATAATCATTAGCTTTATTGATTTTATTGCCAATTTTGGTTTTAAATATTTATTTTTTTATTATATATTACAGATAACTTATTAATATAAACCTGATATATATAAGGGTTGATAACAAAAAAAATAAATTTATATAATCTAAATTTAATTTTTATAAGTTTAGATTAATATTAATAGAAGATTAATAAAATTAATATTAATAATAGTTATATATATTGTTTATAATTGGGTTTAAATTTAAAATTTTATTTTTTATTACTATATATATTTAAAATTTTATTTTTTTATTATTATATTATTTATTATATTATATTTTAAATAAATTATTATTATTAAGCATATATATAGTATGATATAGTATATAATTTTACAATAATAATTTTTTTGATAAATCTCATTTATTTTATTTTATTTTTCTTCTGTATCAGCAGCCTTGCTAATATCTTTATTAAATCAAAGCTAATATACAAGTATATTATTAAACTATCTAAGTTACAGATCTGACATCATTTAGCTTCCTTTATAGGTATTTAAGTGCAGTCTGCCTTACTAGTTAAGGCTATTGCCTATACCAGAGGGCTATACCAAGCTAGCCAGCAAAACTATAACAACATAGTTTCAAATCAAAAGAATTTTTAACTACATCTAATTAGCAATCTTTTCTTTCTAAACTATCTTCATCTTTAAAACAATATTCTAACTCTAATTTCTTTACAATAAACAATTCTATTTCTTCTTTCAAACAAGGATTATTGTCAGAATTCTTTTATTTATACTTGTATTTCTTTTTTCTCTTCTTCTAGTTTAGCCTGTCCTTTCCAATCAAGGAACCAGCTCTTGAGAGTTTTTTCATATTATTTTTTTTGAACTTGTCTTCCTGCATCATTATTTTATATTCTCTTTCTTTTCTTCAGAAGCTTGTTATATAAGTTTTTTCTAAAAATACTTTTCTGTAAGCTCTTCTTTCCTCTAAACATCTTGGGTCTTTTTCTGGTTTTTTAATTTTTGGGTCTTTGTTAATTTGCTTAGATTTCCTTTCTATCGTGATCTGAGTACAG